AAAAGCAGAAACAGTTTGTGCAGACAAGGGACACAGATTTATAACCCAGCTGTATAATCATGTGAGAGAACATGAGGCTTCAGAGAGACAAATCTAACTTCCTTATTTTCTCCTGGGGTTTTGTTTTCATTTTTAGTTTATAGCACAGAATTCCTTACCTTATAATGACCTCATTGAAAAAAAAAAATCTAAGTACTTAATCCTGACTAATGAGACCCAACACATCCAGGCCCTAGATAACTCTTCAAAGATAATCTTGTAGAACTGATTGCTCCTTCCAGACACACTGCTCAGCAAGTTCTCCCTGCCCATCTAATCCAAATGGAAAATGAAATCCCAGATGGGATACACACTGTAGAAAGCGTCACTTACTCATGGCCTCTATGTGACAGTTCTTAAGAGAATATTTCACGATGCAAGAACCTCGTGTCTAATGCACTATTATTCCTCTGCCACCTTAAGGACCAGCAGGCACAAGACACAAGACACAAGGCAAAAGCATTAAAAAGCTACCTCCCTGCAGCATCTGTAAAGTGAAGTTTTTCTCCTTTGTACCACCTAAAATATGTATACTGACCTAGATAGAACATTAGCTTCCCAACTTATTTAGGCAGAAATAAATTCAGTGATCCAAATTCTCAATATATATAGGCCACACAGGTCAGCAAATCACATCCTGTGAATTAAATCTGGTCTATGGTCTTCTTTATAGACCAAGTTTTATTGAAATAGCCATGCCTACTTGCTTTCCTAGGGTCTGACTAGTTTATGCTATAATATATGTATTGATCAGTTCCAACAAAGACCTTAAAATATTTACATCTTGTGCTTCATAGAAAACATCTGCTGGTTCTTGATGATTCCTGACATAAGAACAACATGGACCAATGACGACACCACTGAAGCATCCAAGAATAACATTTGGAGAGAATAACTGAAGCACACCGGAAACAATGCTACAAGATGAAGGAAGTCTTTCATTGAAGGCAAACAGACATCATTGCATGGTACTATCAAGGGGGAAATAGGGCAGTTTTAAATGACAGTATCTTACAGTAATTCCTGTTTGCTTTTAGTGAAAGATTTCTGCAAAATTCCCTGTATACTACATTCTATTCAAAGCACACCATGTTCCTTTGTGATAATTATTTTCTAAACTTAGGAATCAATCAGAGAAGTATCTTCCTACATAAAAGTGCCAGCTTACAGAATCATAATGTATCAATTTTTAAAATACAGTTCTTCTAGCCTCGGACAATAAATAATACAGAATTCATTATAGATTACAAAGGAAAATGATGCTCAAGAGAAAAAATGATTTGCCTATGTCACGAACTTCATAAATTAGTGGCAATGAAATAAAAACCAAATATTTCTTTTTCTAGTCTCAATATGGAAAGGTTAGCTACTAGTTTTTTCAAATAGGTTCTAGTTATAAAAATTCAGATAAAGTAGGCAGTCATGGAGACACATGCCTATAATTCCAGCACTCAAAATGCAGAGATGAGAGAGAATCATTGTGGTTTCTGAGGCCAACCTGAGCTAAAAAGGAATTAGAGTTCTATCTGGGCTATATAGTGAGGTCATCTCAAAAATATAAAGTAAAGAAAGTGAGCTCGGAGACAAGAAGCCACTCCAATCATCCCTAGTGGTTATGCATCGCTTCCATTTATCAGATAAGTCAGTTCATTACAATCAAGAATTTCTTACACACTCTAAATTTACTTTGCTACCTCCTTAAAACATATTTCTTCAACAATTCTGCCGATGAATCTTGAGAACAAAAGCTAAAATAATTTGTCTACGACAGACAAACACTATATGATTCCCCTTATATAAGGTACCTAAAACAGAATGGTGGCCACCAGGAGCTCAGGAGGAAACCAGAAAGGCTAAATCAAAGCAATCTGCTGAATAACAATGTGCCTTTGCCTAGGGTTAGCAATAATGCATTGCACAGCTAAAAATTATCAGAGTATGTCTCATGTAAGCGTACTTATCAAAATTAAAGACATACTCTCCATGCTTAGCATTTGAGGACAAGCTCTGTTCACAGTAACATTAGCACTCAATAACAGTGCCTTGAATAAAGGAGGTGATTAATAAATCACTTTCAAAAATGAAGACTGGAAGGGGCTGGGCATAACTTAGTTGGTAGACTGTCTAGAATGCATGAAGCCCTGGGACCATCACAAGCAACACACACACACATACACCCCCCCACAGAAAGGGAGGGAGGTGATGAATCAAACACAAATAACAAAGAAAAAGATGTACTTTGTGAGTTCAAGGCCACCATGTCTACAGATTGAGTTCCAGGACAGCCAAGGTTACTTTTACAAAGAAACTTTCTCAAAAACCCAAATTTAAAGAAAAAGATAAATACATATATACAAAAACAAATTTAAAAGTCAAAGTAAATATTTACTCTTCACAGGCTTCTCAGGTAATTATTACAGTGTCAAAAAGTTGACTGAGCTTCAGGATAAGATGCGGAAAAAGTATGTGAAGTAATTTGTTGGCCAAAAACACAGCAAATAGACACAGTGGAGTCATGTATAGCCTCACCATCTGGCATCTCACGCCCTAAGACTATGGTTTATATACTCCACTACATCTGCTCCTGTTCTGTGAGAGTCTAAACACACTTAAAAGCTGAATAATTTATAAAGCCTATCTATAGAAACTAAAGACATAATCTGTCCATGCTGCATATTTAAAGTACCAGTATTAATTGTTCATTATAGTCATCAGCAGCCCAATACAGAGGTACTTCACTTATGACTATAACCATTAGTTTTATAATTTTTCAAAATAGTGAACAATTCTTGACCAAGTTCTGAAACACAGGATAATCTCCCTAGATGAATACATTGAGGGTTTCATGTTTCCATGCCTTTTGCCTTGAATCTTAGTAATCTTTCCCATTGGTTCTGGGTGGGGCACATAGTTTTCTTTAGTAGTTAACATGTATACATCTGTAATACATGTAACACAGGAATAAATTATATGTGCATATGGTTGTATACATGCTTCCCATTAATTTTTGTTTGTTTTTCAAGACAGGGTTTCTCTGTAGCTTTGGAGCCTGTCCTAAAACTAGCTCTTGTAGATCAGGATGGCCTTGAGTGTTGGGATTGATTAAAGGTGTGCACCACCACCACCCAGCTGATGCTTCCCATTATATAAATGTTTGAGTGATCGCAAATAGCACATGGCATGTAGGGGAGTTCTGTTCAATACATTATTACAAGTTATACATCATTCATCCATGATGTTTTCCAGATTAAATTAACAATGTTTTCCAATAGTAACAACAATCAAACACACTCCCTCCAGCACACTAAAACTCAAGCATGGTGATCAGAGAGGACGTAGGAACATTACAAAAAAAAAAAATATGCTTTCTGATCTCCTGATTCAGAATCACTCATCTCCAAACATAAATTCATTCATGTTCAATGTATGAATGTATGACATTGCCATTTTAAGCCTAAATATATGTGTTTAAGTATGTCACCTTTTTTAAAAAGATTGAGGGGTAGGAATAATCAGGCAAACTAACAAGACAAATAGAGCACAGTGCCCTGGTGATCAGAAGAAGGCACCTCATCTTCTGGAGCTGGAGTTCTAGGCAGCCGTGAACTACCTGTCTTGGGTGACAGGAACTGAACACAAGTCCCTCTAAGAGCAGTATGTGCTCTTAACTGGTGAGCCCTATCATCCAGCTTTGTAGTTTTCTATACGGTACTCAAATCATCTACTAACTCAAAATATTTCATCACTGGCCAAATTGAGAAACTTTAAAGTGTAGTCTCTCCTCTAAATATGTATTTTAGAATAGTTCACAACTGTGAATTCACTCTTCAACATTTTAGAAACAAAATACATGTGTATCACAGTAGGCAAATAATTCTATTCCATTTTGGTTTTAGACAGGAGTCCCATGCAGACTAGGCTGGTGCAGAATTTGGTAAGCATCCAATGGTAACCTTAAGTTTCGGATCCTCTTGCCTCTATCTCTGAGTGCTGGGTTTACGTCTGAACAACAATGCTTGGCTGATTAGGTAAAAAATTTCAAGTAATCATTCTAAAACATTTGAGAAGAAAGAGAATACTCTTGCATACATTTTCTAAGAATGAACTAAGAGGTGACTAAAACCAATAAAATCTTAATACTCAACCTCTTTTGTGTCTTTTGTGTCTAAGATTACAGACAAGCAACCAGAATGGTACGCTAGACCCACTCAACCTTACCAAGATTTAAAAAAGCATTCCCTCCAGGCATAGTGGTTCACACTTCTGGTCCCTGAGGCAGAGAAGGTAGATGTCTGTGAGTTCAAAGCCAGCCTGGTTTACAGAGAGAGTTCAGGACAGACAGAGCTATACAGATAGCGAGACCCTGTCTTGAAACCTTCCCTCAAAAACAAAACAAAGCAATTCCATGCTCTATTAACTTCACCCATTTTACAACAATAGATCACTACTTTTATTAGTAACAAAACTCAAATCTAAAAAGAAATAAGCCAACAGCATGGCATTACTGAGAGCCCATTAGAGGTCACAGGAACCAGTTCCCTAGGACACTGTGCTGCCCTTCACAACCTAGCTAAGCAGGAGACATCACAAACACCTAATTAAGATGTAAGTTAGAAAGGATGGAAAAGGTCTTGAGAGCTCATCACGTAACTAGCGCAGCGTGACAGAGTTGGCGCTTCTCCTTCCCTCCTTCCCCTCAAACTGCCTTCTACAGCCAACACTGCTAAGTCTCAAATACCCATGTCTTACCTCTAAGTAAAGTTTTAAGTACCTAGGTTTACGTAAAACACTCAGGCATTAATTCCAAATGCATTATCAAATAGGAACTTTCTGAAATATCTAAATACATATCTAAACACAGAATACAAAAATAACACTGAGACAAGGATACATCATTTTAAGCAACTTATTAAATCATATTAAAATGACCGCAACCAAGTTAAAAATTGCAAAATACTTACTTCATTTCCATGTTTTTGCAGGAATTCAATTTCCTGTTGTGTAAATGTTGTCATGGAGATAGACTTCACCCTGTGAGGTGGATTTAATCCTCTCCTAAAAGATAAAATATTTTACAAAATTACTACTGCTTATTTTTAAATTATTCAAAACATTTTAGTATACTTAAACTTCTAAGTATTTCCATTCCATAAACAGATTTAATATTAAACTATTGCTTATCATACAAAGTAAATTTAATTAGACTACACAGCATTAGCATTCAAACAGCCATAACAAGCCTTTGAGTTACACTTAGTTTTCATTTTTATTAAAAATTATATATATTGTGAGCAGGTACACATGCTGTCCCCACAGAGCAGCATGTGTGGAGGTCAGAAGACAATCTGCAGTAGTCAGTTCTCTCCTCCAACATTTTGGTGCAGGTCCTAAGACGGAACTCAGGTCATCAGGCCTGGCAGCAAGCATCTCTACCCACTGTTCTATGTAGCTGGCCCAGATAAACTCTTTTTAAAAGATTTTTACAAGGAAGATAGAAAAGTAAAGGCTTTTCTGAAATAAGGAGAGGCAAAGTAGCAAAGTGAGAGGAAGTAAGCATTGGGCAGGGGATTTTTTAAGGTTAAAAATATGTGGCTGTGAGTTGACTCAGCAGGGCAGGACCCTGGTGACCAGAGCTCAACCCCTGGAACTCACATAATGAAAACAGCTGACTCCCACCAGACACACACATGACCTCTGACCTCCACACATGTGCAGCACACACACACCTACACACATACCCAAAATAAATGTTAAAAATTTTAAAGAATAAAAAACAGTATCAGCAACAAATAACTAAGAATGAACTATATTATGCAAAGCAACTGGCCAGAAAAATATAAGTTCATAATGTAAAATAAAATACTTACAAAGCCCCCACACAGGTATTTAGTATTTCTAACAGTATGACAGTCAGACAAGACACTCTTTCGGTTTCGTTGTTTAATTTTATTTGTAATAATGTGTGTATGTGTGTGACTGGAAGGTATGTAGATGCCAGTGCAGGTGCCAGAGGCCAGAATAGGGCATAGGAATCCCTAGAGCTGGAGCTGCAGGCCAATGTAATGGGCTGGAAACCAAACTCAGGCCCTCTGCAAGAATAGCACATTCTTCTAGCTATCTCTCCAGGAGTGGGAAAGGTAAGGAGGGACACCTTTCAAATTCCAATTTTCTGAAATGAAAACTTACAAACGTGAAAGTTAAATTTTCAACAAACCAGTTTAAAAAGCAGATTAAACATAATTGAACAAAGGCTGGGGCGTGGTGGTGCACGCCTTTAATCCCAGCACTCAGGAGGCAGAAGCAGGTGGATCTCTAAAAATCTGAGACCAGCCTAATCTACACAGGAAGTTCCATGATAGCCTAGACTACATAATGAAACCTCCGTCTCAAAAAAATAAAAAATAAACATACCTGAACATAAAATTAATGAAGTAGAAGACAGAAGGTAACATAAAGACAAAGGAAAACTATAACTAAGAAGCCTAACGGACATCTAAGACCAGTTCTACAGCTACAGAGCTGAAGGAATGAAGAAGATACATCTGAAGAGATAATGGCTGGGATTTTTCAGATCCAATAAATTACTTTAATAGAACTATAGAAAATAAAATCTACAGTTAGAAACAGTCAAAATTTTAATGACTTTAAATTAAATTAAAACCACTTTCCATAGGAAATGAGAATATTATCTTCATGTGGAAATGAAATAAATGTTGTGATCCAGACAAGCAAAGAGAAAAAATGGCAGTAATTACAGACTTTAAAAAAAAAAAATGTTACCCAAGAGACTTTTAAGTAAAGAAACTTACATCATACACAATTTAAAAAGCAAAACTATAGGCTGAGTATTGATGTCTCATGCCTTTAATCCCAGGACTTGGGGGCCAGAGGCAGGCAGATCTCTTATGAGTTCGAGGCCAACCTGGTCTACAAGAGCAAGTTCCAGGACAGAAAGGGGCTACACAGAGAAACTCTGAGTGGGAG